ACCTTGGGGGCCCGAGAGACCTCGGGGACCCGGGAGACCTAGGAGACCCGGGAGACCTTGGGGACCTGGAAACCTGGGAGATCCAGGAGATGTGGGAGACCTGGGGACCCAGGGGGCCCGGGAGACCTCAGGGACGCAGAACCCTGGAGGCTGAGATGGTGCCTCTGCACACGTCCCTAGTTGGGAAGGACGTCGGGCAGCCATAGGCAGACTCCTGAGGGAGACTGGCCACAGGGACCAGGGTGGTGCAGATTCCTGTCCCCCACCCTCCGAATGTGACCTCAGTTGAAATAAAGCGTCTTGGCAGGTGGCACTGGGTCGGGGTGAGCCAAGGCGATGCTGGCCGGGCTTCTCGAAGCCTGATGAGAGCAGAGGAGCGCCCGGGAGACAGAGGCCACATGAAGATGGAGCAGAGGCTGCAGCGATGTACCAGAGGTCACCAGCCCCACCGAGGCAGGGAGAGAGGCAGGGACTGCTTTCTCCAGAGCCTCCAGAGGAACCAACCCGGGACACCTGGGCTCCAGACTCTGGCCTCCACGTGCTGAGTGGACGCGTTTTGTCGTGTGAAACCGCCAAGCTCACGGCTGGTTGGATGGAAGCTTACCAGCTCCCGAGGGCCACAGCTGAGTCTTACAGCTGGGCCGTGAGTGCCCTGGCCACCAGGGCTTCCGGAGCCTGGCAGGCGGGAGGGAACCAGGTCGGAGCAGGAAGGGCCTGGCGGGAAGTGGTTCCTGAGGACACGAACAGCATGTGGCACACACAGGCAGAATCGTGGCCAAGGAGCTGGGACCTGCTGGGCGAGGAAGCCGCGGGTGGCACAGGGAGTCGGGTGCCTCTGGGGACCTGGAGCCACCGGAAGGCCTGGGGTTTGGCCAGCAGCCTGAACATGTGGGGCGCTCTGCCCTGGGACCCGCCACCCTGGCTGGCTGGAAGGCTGGGGAGTGGGTCTCAGGGGGGTGCAGCCCTGTTGGGGTTCCTCTCTCTCTCCCGCTCCTCCCTCTCAGGAAGTAAATAAATCTAAGAGGAAAACAGGAAGGAAGCAGGGAAAGCGTGGAGGGGGCCTTCTGGAGTTGCGCGGGTGGGAGGGAGGCGGGTCGGGTCTGCCTGCAAGGAAGGTCCACTGAAGCTCAGAGCTGGGGGCGCTGACCCAGGAGTGACCACGCGCCACGGGGCCAGGGAGACTCCGAGCCACTCCCCCGACCATCCGACCCTCACCCTGTCCTGTGACTGCTTTATCTATTTTTCAGTTTTCCCAGAGCATGCATGCACCCGCCAGAGAGAGAGAGACGGAGGGAAGCGCACACCCCCATGGGGAATGGCCACCCCTCCATCCCTTCTCCATTTCTCCCTCCCAGCGTGCACCTGGCATGTTTCTCAGGTCACCACCCAAGGACTGGAACCGCTCGTGGGCCTGGTAGGATCCAGCCGCCTTCACTGCCAGGCCCGGGCTGGCCCAGAACTGTTCATTTATATATGGGAAAGGAAATGGAAGGTCAGAGAGCCCTTACAGGGCCAGGCTCCCACCTTCCGGCTGGGAAGGGAATCTCTGTCTTCCTGGCCCCTGCACTTCACTGCTCCAGCCTGAATTTAAAATATTTACTCCTAATACAACTTGGCTGTCACTCTGTGAGTCTCCACGGTCCCACTCGGGGTAGCTGCCTGTCCATCAGGGCTCAGACACCCAGACAGATCTGCTCATGAAGTCACCAGCCCTGTCGCGGGGCTCCACCCTCTAGCTCTGAAACTTCCTGGCTTTCTCATAATTCCAAATAAGTCTTTCAAGAAATTGCCATTTGAAATGTTTAATTTCCAGTACCACGTTATAAGTTTTTCAACACAGAAATTTTTAACTAGAAAAGGGGCCCGGTATTCCACTTCTCAGCCAATGGCTACCGATGGTTTTTTAATGAGCACGAGGGAAGAACATTCAAATAAGGCAGAAAAACGGGCAGCGCCAACAGTGCCCAGAAACTGCTCAGTTTGGTGCATCTTTGTCCCCAAATACAGCTATCACCAGGAACTTCTTGTCTGTCTTTCCAGAGAAAAAGCTGTGTGCATGTAGGTGCTTTCTTTCCTCTACGGTTTAGTTGCCAGAGGACACATGTGCTTGCCAGAGGCAGGGACGGCGCCCCCTGTGGGCCACACTGCAACCTCATCCTCACTTCTCCACTACACACACACACACACACACACACACACACACACACACGTGTTTTCAAGCTGGCTAGGCTACGGGCCAGCCTCGTAGGTGTCCTCAGTGAAACACCACGATGCCCGCGGCCCTGCTTCATTCCTCCTCAAACATTTATCAGGAGGCAGTTCTGATACTGAAACGTCGAGAAATATTTCTTTGGGAAGCTCTTGGGCTCCACCTGGGGCTCCCTGGCCAAGGAGCCAGGTTCAACGTGACCAACGGGTGCGGACCTCAGCCTGGTGGCTGGGTCGAGGTGGCTGCTCCCCGCAGGCTGGCTATGGAGTTGGAGCCCTGGACCCTCAGCTTGAACACACCCGGTGTGCGCCCCAATCCCAAAAGGGGGCGCGAAGGAGACCGCGGTGTGCTCGTGCCAGGGAAGGGGACGTCCTCCCTCTCCTTCTCCCCGTCGGTCTCCTTCTGGTGAGCACGCGTGTCCTCTGGCAAAGTGACACACTCACACTTTCACACTCATTCACTCACAAACACTCACTCAGACACACACTCACGCACACACACTCACACGCATTCACTCACAAACACTCAGACACACACACTCTCACACACTCACGCACACACACACGCATTCACTCACAAACACTCACTCACTCAGACACACACACTCACTCCCACACACTCACACACTCACAACAAACAAAAACACCCCAGGCCTCACATTTGCCTTGAATTCTGACAGGAGATGATGGAGGAGAAAGGGAAGGAGAGATAGAGAAGGCCCGTGGAGGGGTCTCTCCCTCTCTCCTCTCTCTCCCGTGCTAACCACAGAGAAAAATAAAAACTTTGTAACATTTCACTATGGGGTGCCTATTTCCCAGGCTGGTTGTCATGGCTGTGCCGAGTGTCTTCCACATGCAGTACAGACTGGGCATTCCTCCGGGGAGCCCCCAGAATGACAGGGCGCTACCGGCTCCCTCTGTCTACCACCACCTGCACCCGGTCTCCTCACGCAGGAAGGAACACACACTGCCTTATCTCCGTCTCCCAGGTCCACGAGCGGCCCTGCCAGCCCCTCCAGGTTCCTTGTCATCATCTCTGCCACGTGAGTGCCTGGAGCCCGGGCCCTTTGTCCTCAATCCTCCACGCTCGGCAGCACCTCGGGTCTGTCCACTTCCTTTCTCGTAACACTGTGCGACACCTTCAGGGTCTAGTAGTCACCCCACCTTTCTCCACACACAGCCGCACAGAGCAGACCAGATACCGTGCCCCAAATCCAGCTTCGGAAAATGAACAAGCGGTACCTTATCACTTGCATAAGAAACATGGTGACTCAATGAGGGTTTTTCATACGAGTTTGAAATCGATGGGTTGACTAGTAAGAATACAGAATTTAGAAACTGAACCCTTTTAGGACAGAAGACCGGTTCTTGAGCATACAAGACACTTCCTGAATTTGTTCACTCTTGACTTCTCACTTGCCTACCCTCTTTCGTTGGATCGACCATTCAATTACTCTCGCTTCCTGAATTTGCTCACTCTTGACTTCTTACTTGCCTACCGTCTTTCGTTGGATCGACCATTCAATTACTCCACAGATGTGTTGGTCCCTCTCAGAATCAGGTGTTTTTAAAACCCTCATCTCCTTGTGGGCACACCCCCCTTCCAGCCCAGTCATGCCAGATGTTTGGGCCTGGGCCTTCCCTTCACGCAACTCAGACTATAGAAGTCCATGAAATGACACCCCTACACCCAGAGAGGGGGGCCTGCAGTCTGCGGGAGTGTCAGCTCACACACCAGTTTGCTCATCAGAGGCCGTGCACTCCTCCGAGTTATGTAGTGTTTTAGGACTTGTCAAACACTCCTCTCCCTTTAATCTCCTTTACAGAGCTGTTCTTCCAGCTTCCTCCTTGGAGGGGAGTCACTTGGGATGAAATGCCCTCTTCAGACTACTGGGTGGTGGGAAGATGCACTAGAGAAGGGATTTTCCCTGCCCTCGGGGTCACCTAGTTCAGAACGTGGCCCCTCATCCCTAAGTTCACGATCACGCACACCCTGCCTTATTAGACCTGGCCTCTGGTTTCATGGTTCCTCTGGGGAAAGAAGGGCAGCAGGAGGAGAAAGCCCTCCTCCGGCAGAGGCAGGGTGTGGAAGACCTCTGGGACAGCACAGCATGGCTGCGGGGTGCAGGGCGCGGGTGGGGGCGCTTAGGCAGCAGGGGGCCCCTCAGGCGGGTCCCATCCCTTTGGCTCTGTCCTCCAACACGCTCTGTCCCACCTACCGTGCAGTAAATATGCAGAATCACTCACACACGAGCAGTTTCCCATGGGACCAGTCGGTCCAGTTCTCGGTTGGCTGCTAACTTCCTTCTCCCTTAGTCTCTGCCCACGGAGCCTTCCCCTCTGGGTACCTAAACTTCCCACCTGGTCACCCTCCCTGCCCTCTCCTCCACTTCCGGCCTGGCCGCGCTCGCCTCCCACTATCCTCACACTCAGCATCCCGGTTCTGCGCGTGACCAGGAGCTCGACGCGTCTGCGGCGTGAGTCCACGCCCGAGCTCGGGGGCGAGGGTCCCGCGGGGCCGGGACAGGGCGGGTGGGCAGGCGCGCTCCTTTCCCGTGTGACCTGGACGCGGAGAGCCCGGGGCGAGAGCTGGCAGGGCTCGCCGTTCCCAGCCGTGTGCGTGCCAAGCCCGCGGGTCCACGCGCCTCGCAGCTGCGCCCCGCACGCTGCAACTTCATCCAGACGCAGGGCGAGGCGACCCACGCGGTCGCAGCCCGGGCGCCGATGACCTCCGGGCCAGTTCCTCCCTCGGCGCCCTCCCCCGCCCCTGCAGCGGCCTCGCACAAACCCAGTTGCCCGGGGGAGAGCTCGGGCTCTGGCGCGCAGCCCCTCGCAAAGGGTTAATTTCTCCGATCGCACGAGGGGGAGGAGATTTCCCTGCAGACGAGTAGAAAGGGTGATGGACAGACGTGCGGGCACTAAGACCGCAAGGCATTCGTCTCCTCCCGCGGTGGATGCGGACGCCGGGAGGAGCGAGCCCAGCGCTGAGCCGGCAGCCGCGCAGGCAATGCTCCGCCCTGGATGTAGCTGAGGGGGAGCGACCACGGCGGCCGAGCGGCGCGGGGACCCGGGGTGGGCGGGGAGCAGACCGAGCGCCCTCCGAGCCGAGCGTTCACAGCTTCTTTTATTTTGTGTAGAGAACACGCAGCGACCCCGAAGAGCAGCCCCAATGAACATGTCAGTGCTGACTTTACAAGAATATGAATTCGAGAAGCAGTTCAACGAGAACGAAGCCATTCGATGGATGCAGGAAAACTGGTAGGTGATGCCCGCGCCCTGGGGGCCGCGGGAACTGCGGCGACGCCGGCGTGGTGGGTCGGGATTATATAACACGGACAGACGTGTGTGCAGAGGATGTCTGCGCGGCGGGGATGCCGGGCCCGACGCCCCACCTGGACGACCTCCCGGTGTCGCCCGGACGGGTTCCCGGCCTCCCGCAGCCGGGCGTGGAAGGCGGCGAGGCCCCGGCCCGCGCCGCTTGGTCCCGGTCTCTCCCTTTCTCCTTGCAGCCCGGCCTCGCTGCCCCGGCCGGTGCCTGCCTGCCAGGACCCCTTCCCCCCGCGGGCCCTTCCCGGTGGCTTAGAGAGATCGGGAGGGGTGGAGGAGGGGACGGCAGCGCGGGGATGAAATGAATGAACCGAGCGGTGCGGCCACGCCATTATGAACTTTCTGTTCCTCGAAGCGCCTCGCTGACGCGCTCCGGCTCCGAGCCGCCGCCGAAA